CCTTGCCTGGCTAAAATGGGATCCTGACTTATTTCTGCGGTGGTTTTGATCACCTCCAGAAGTTGTGTCTGTTCCTCTGAGGCCTCACCACAGGCTCAACTTTAAGATACTGTTGCCTCCATCGGCACTGTGTTACCACCCTTTGGTTGGATCCCTCCCATCCCAGAAGTGAAGGAGCAGTTGGGGTGAGGACTCCATAGCAGATAGAGGATGGGGGTGAAGAAACTTCCTTTTCAGATGTTTTCAGGGTTCAGGTCTGCTTTTCCAGAAAGCATCATGCCCTAGCAGCCTTGTCTGCTTCTCCTGTGCCCCCGCAGTCTGGGCTTGCTGCATCTAAAGCCACATTGCCCATCCCAGACCAGATGGTGGAAGTTTTGGGGCTGCACGTGGGGGTTTCAGCATTAGGTACGTGGGTCCTGGGGAGCAGTCTGGCCCAAGGGAGTGGTTTGTTCCTGATGGCTTCAGCCATGCAGAGGACCGCTGCTGTCTTAATTCTTGCGACAGCAAGTGGCACTGCTTGCACAGAGCATCCCCTCCTCCCCAAGTCCGGGCAGGGGGTGAAAGTGTTCCCTAACGGTTTCTTCTCCATGGAAACTTCTCTGTGAGTACAGCGCAGGCTGGCTCGGTTTTGGTTTTTTTTGTTTTGTTTTGTTTTCCAAAGAGCTTGTTATTTTAAAGTACTTATCTATATCTAAACTTTTCTGCTTCTGAGAGATGGGCAGCAGAGATAGGAGGGGAGAAGTGACTGGTGCCAGGATAAAATTGCTCTGAACACACATAGCTTTGCAATGTTCCTGAATCCATCTGCTCAAATGTCTGAAGACCACATCTGTCTGGAGTCTTTAATGTGATTTCTAGATAGCAGCCCCCATCTCTGCTCCTGTGCCACCAGACTGATGAGCAGCATTGCACGAGCAGTGGTGGGGCATCTTGCAAGGGATGGCTTGCTTGAGCTGAAGCAGTCCCCAGGGAGGGGACAGCCTGGCTGGGGCAGGGTGGGAGGTGTGGTGGGACTGGTGGTATCCCACTGCCCAGGAGCCTCCCTTCATCCCGACTGCTGCATAGCCCTGCTCAGTGTTAGCTGTGGCTAGCAGCCAGCTTTCTCCTCCTGTTTCCTCTGGCTTGGTCAGGCATGCTGACCTGGGAGGTGAGAGGAAAGGGAAGAGGGCAGTGAGGGGTTCTGGTCACCTGTATGCCCTCCGAGGAGGGACTCGCCAGCACAGCCCTTTCCTCTTATGTTAAATATTTCCAGGGACCTGCTCGCTCTTGTGTGGGAGCAGGAGGCTGCTAGAAAGCAGATACTCGACAGCCTCCACCCCCAAAACTGTTGCCCTAAAAAAGCATCCCTTGCTCAGGGAGGGCTGGCCAGAGGCTCCACATGTTGCAACTCCCCTCATCCCAGTCCACCCCCCAAGCTTAAAAAGGATGTCCCAAAGCTGGTGATGCCAGAAGTGAAAACATCTGAGGCTGTGACAATGTGACCTCTGGGGAATTCAGAAGAACGGAGTTTGTTTAGTCCAGAAAAGTGATGGTGACACCAGTACAGGCACCGAGTGCATAAGGGGTGTTTACAAGGATAATCCCGTCTTCCAGACTTAAATCTGGTGCTACCCATTTTCCTGATAAGCACTGATCCCATCAGCCTCTTTTTTTCTCCCCCAGCTGCTGCCTTCCCCATCCCCACCCAAGCAGGCACAGGACCCCACTGCTGTGGTTTTTGGGCAGCTCCTGGAACCATCCAGCCCTTTGCCCCTGGGGAGGGGTAGGACACCATGGCTGCCGCCTGGAGTACAGAGCCAACGATGCTGTGCGAGCAGCCAGAAGATCCCGAAGGACATCGTCAGGGATGCTGACCTTGCAGTGGGAGCTGATGTCCGAAAGGCAGCCTGGGGGACTGTGTGTCCCTGCTAGGCAGGAAGGGAATGTGCCTGCAGCTCTGAAGCACCCGTGGGACATGGGCAAAGGGGAAAACCAGTTCCCAGCACATCGGCATCATCTTACTCACTGGAGCAAGGTTCGAGGCTGGGTGTCTTATCTCAACCCTTATCCAAGCCAGCGATAGCAGAGCTGAGTGATGGAAACCATGCAGCGCATGGAAAGCAAAGCCTCATGTGGCAATCAGTGCGGATAACCAGGCTGGTTTGCTTTGGGGCAGATGCTGTGGGGGCGGGGGGGAGTTGGTTAAAGCCTCCAAAGGTCTGCGTGCGGGTTTGTTCACGCTCTTGCAGAAATCAAAGAAAAAAAAAAACAACCCAAGGACAAAATTAAAAACAACCCTCGATTGACAGGATACGCGGTTAAGTGTTGGCGCCTGTCCTAAGCTGTGATCAAGGGCGGAATAGCCAAATTTGGGAGAGGATCGGCCATGGATGTGGCTACCAGCTGCTGGAGAGATGGTGCCTGTTGGAGTGGTGGTGGGGAGGGAGCCCTACTTGTGGGCTGGGGTAACCAGGCCACATGTCGCCAGCACGCTGCACCAGGCCAGACATTGGTGGCCCTGTGATGAGGCGGTTTGGGGATAAGGAAGAGAAATTTGGGGGCTACGATGTGCTGGGGTCGGATGCTATTGCCATAATCCCTCTGCTCTTGGCCACCGTGGCATTGGTGCTGGTCACCACCAGGGAGGTGGCCATGGGGTTGGGGGTGGCAGCTTTGGGCATGTTGCCTGCAGGCATGGTTCAAGATGAGACTGTTTCTTGGGATCCTGCCATTTTGGGGGGGGTCCCCACTGCTGGGTGCTGCCCCATGCCCTTCTGATCGCTGGCAGAGACTCAAGAGACCAGCAGCAAAGTCAGCTCCTTTCTGGAATGTTCTCCTGCTGCAACCGATATGCACAGGGGGGCCAGTGGCAGGAAAAAGGCTTTTCCAGAGCTGTTTAGAGCAGAGACTTCCTCATCTGTCCAAAAGATGGTGCATTTCAGAAGCATAAAGCAAAATGAGCCCTGTTGTTCCAGACCTCCCCAGTTTCTCCAGCCCGGGTCTGTCCCAGGTGCCATTCCTGCTGCCAGTCTGTGTCTGACACACCATCGCAGCCTTGGGGCATCGCTCTCCTGTGGGATCCGTGCTCTGCCCTCCCAGCTGAAGCAAGGAGCTGCAGCCCTGGGGCAGGACTTGGCATCAGAATCACTCTGGGTCTTGGGACCACAGTGCAACATCTACCTCCACATGCGGGCAGCAGAGATGCCTCAAGTCCAAAAACCAAAGCAGAGCCATGAATGCAGTGGTTTCTCCTAGCTGGAAGCTGGCTACAAGTGTTTTTATCCCTTTGTGGGAAGCAAACCTACGGCATTTGATCTTCAACATCAGCTTCGCATCCACTGATGCCCGCAGCGGGGACAGGCAGTGCTCAGCCTGCAGCAGAGCTCCCGCCAAGGGGGCTTCTTTAGAAGCCAAGCAATGACGTTCATGTGCCTCAGCCCTGTTGTTTTGGATCCTCCGACCTCTTGGCTGCCATTTCGCTTTTGCAAAGGAGCCTGCTGAAGGGTGGGAAGCACCCTGGCTCCTGCCCTGGGAGGCTGGTGAAGGCGGGGGCGGGGGGGGGGGGGTGGGGTGGGGGGGGGATGGTGATGACTGGTGGCCAGGGTGATGAGATGTGGTTTTTGGAGACCTCCTCCTCTGTCCCGCCTTAAGGACAACCACTATGTCATCTTCCCATCCCCTTTCTGTCCTGCATCTCTTTTCCCATCTTCCCCCCTGCCCACACTTTCTTGCTTGCTTTGAGCTGCAGGGAAGGGAATTTAGAAAGAATAAGCTGGAAGTTAATCCAGGAAAGCTCCTTGCCCCTGTGCTGTCCTCTCTTTTGGTGGCTCAAGCCAGCTCCGGGCTCATCCCCAGCCCTTCCTGCCCTCAGGGCAGTGGAGACAAGGGGCATCATGCTCAAAATCTTGCTATGGGCGAAAGGGAAACACAGCCAAGAATTTATTATTAATATAACTGAAGTCTAAGCAGTCAAAGAGCTGTTTTTAGCTCAGAGCTAGATTGCAGAAAAGGAAAATAAAGCAATGAATGCTGCTGGACAGTACTAGTAATACAGCTCTGCGTTTCTTTAGCTGGTCCTTGGGGAGCGGTTTCTCGCCTTGGGATCCCCTGCGCATCGCCCCACACCTGCCCCTGGCCTGGCGTCCCCACACTCCCGCATCCCTCTGGGCAGCATCCTTACAGGAGAGTGGTGAATGCGTTAATCTGCTCAGAAAACCTGTCCCATTATAGCTGTCAGTTCTCAACCTTGGTCTCTCGTACAAAGATGAGGAAATGAAAAATCAATGAAGCGTTGCCACTCGGCCATTGGAAAAATTACTTAATTGAGTCAAACCAAAGCCGCCAGCAGATTGAAATAAGCTCAGGAGGTGCAAACCCCACCAGCCTCTCTCCAGAGGCCTTGCAAACTCAGTGCATGGTCCGGGGTCTGACACAGGGTCTGGCAATGCTGACAAACCCACCCAGCACTGACAACCGCAGCCCCCCCACTCTGTGCCTGCCCCCCGTGATGGATCTGCAGCCCCAGTGCTGCTGGGGCGAAATGAGAGCAACCAAATGTGCTGTGAGAGCTGATGGGTGGTTTTATTACATGACATCTGGAAGCAGTGCCACAAAGGTGTGACATCCTCCCACCCGGGCATTTATGCCCCCTGGAACAGGGATAAATGAGGGTTTCAATGCCATGTTTTTAATGCTATCTTAGCTGTTTCTCCTGCTGCTTTCTCCCCACACCCCTTTTCCCCATTTTTTTCCATCGATGCCAAGTGTATTTCTGCGTTAAGTCTCAGTGCATCCCACCGGCCTAGCGTGGGGACCGTCCCTGGGGCAAAGTGCTGCTGCTGGGGGGGGGTCAACCCAGCTGGGACCAGGCAGGGAATCCACCGGTGTCCTTTGGGAGCAAAGCCTGTGGTGCTGGGGAGATACATCCCTTGCAGGGCACGGACTCGGTCCCTGTCTCCACGGGGTGATGATGGGTCCATCCCCTGCCTCCACGGGGTGACGTGGGACGGCTGCCGGCTCCGCTAGCAGCTCCCTCCCGTGCACAAGAAGATCCCCATGGCCATGCCCAGCAAGGCGAAGGTCCCCAGGATGAGGCCCAGCACCAGCGGGGCATGCGACCGGCTGCTCTGTTTTCCTGCAAGAGGCGAGAGGGATGGAAGTGATGACTGGGGTCACCCCTCACCATGCCACTGTGTCCCCCCACCCCAGCACTGGCACGGACCCATCCTGGCGCTCTGAGCCCGCAGGATGCCGACGCAGGTGGTGTTGAGGAAATGCTGGAGGTCCTGGGTGGTCTTGGGGTACTTCATCAGCTCCCGCTCAGCAAAGGTGGCCACTGGGTCACTGCCGGGCCAGCGCCGCTCCCAGGTGGCATTGGGGACGTGGAAGGTGAGGAAAGCCGTCCCGTTGAGAGTCACCTCGTAGAAGCTGTGGGTCGTGCCGTTGGGGAAGAGGCGGCAGCCCAGGTGGCAGCCCAGGCTCTGGGTGTCTATGGGGGGCAGAGGGAGGGGGGTTAGGGTCAGCACGCTCCCACCCTTTGTAGCCCATTGCCATCACCAGCATCGAGCCATGTACTGAGTTTGCAAAGTCTCGGCCTTGTGCCACCCGACCCACCCACAGCTTTGTTTTCACTCAGTTTAGCTGCAGCCACAACCTTTCCAATGGCCAGGTGGCCAGGCTTATTTTTCCTTTCCTTATCTGCGTACAGCACAGCTTCAGTTTTATAGAGACGGGAGGTTTTTCCACACAGAGCGAGCTATTCATCGCTCTCACGGAAGGATGCGGCACAGGGAGTGTGGGGCGAGGGGAGGTGTGGGGCTCACACCAGAGACCCCGAGGTGAGAAAGTGCTCCCCAAGGCTCTGGTAAAGAAATGCAAAGCCGGGGCAAAACTGGTTTGGGGGTAAGAAGGAAAACGAAGGTAAAACACACCCTGGGCAGGAACATCAGAGGTAATGCAGGTTTGCGGAGCAATGCAGGCAGGAACACGAAACCATTGCCGTCAGCATCCCACACCTCCCGCAAAGGCTGCCGGGTGCAGGCAGGGTGCGGGTGGGGTGAAGGCAGGATGCAGGCAGGGTACAGGCAGGGTGCAGGTGGGGTGCAGGCAGGGTTCAGGCAGGATGCAGGCAGGATGCAGGTGGGGTGCAGGTGGGGTGCAGGCAGGGTGCAGGCAGGGTTCAGGCAGGCTGCCGGCAGGCTACCTACACCTCACTGTTCCCCCAGCCTGCAGCCCCCAGCCCTTTTCCCAAGGGACAGCAGGAGGTTGAGCATCACCCTGTTGCCGGGGTGGGCTCCAGGTAAGAAATTCCCAGCTCTGCAGAAGGGCTCCTTTCGCCCAGGGCAAGGTTTTGTATGTGGCCATGTCTCCGTCCCTTTGCCCAGGTGTCCCCAGAGAGCTGTCCCTGTGCACAGGCAGTGCAGGGGGGCTCCCCTTCCCCAGTGGGACCCATCCCCATGCCCCCCGGACTACCACTCACAGTCTATGGGCCTCTCCTTGCTGAAGAGCTTCACCAGCTGGCCAAAGTAGGACAGGTAGGTGGTCACGTCCTGCTGCCGCCTGGCCCAGATGTCCGGGGGCTCCAGCGGCAGCACCTGGGTGACATTAAGCCCCTCCAGGAGATGGCTGAGCCGCCCATCCAGGCTGGCATTCCCCCAGAAGACAGAGCTGCCTTTGGAGACGTGGGTCTGTTGCAGCATGGTGAAGGTGAGCGGGGCTGTGAGACACACTGGACATCACACGCTGCTCCTCCATCCCCCTCCCTGTAAGCCGTGTGTCCCCTCCATGCCAACCCCAAGTCTCTCCAACCCCACCAGCACCGTGTCCTTGCCTTACCTGCCTGGTCCGCTCCACAGCCCAGAGCCCCACAGAGCAGCAGCAACCAGAGCATCCTGGGGACAGGGATGGGGACGGGAATGGTGGCCCCACAGCTGGCCTGGCAGGAATTAAGCAGGACCGGGGAGGTGGGGCTGCGGGAGGAGGAGAGTGGGAGTCCGGCCAGGTCTCTCCCATTTCCTTAGCCCGAGCCACCCACACCCCTTCCCTGCCGGACATGCCGGGGGTGCCGGGCCCTGCAGCACCCAGGGCTGGTGACGCGGGCTGAAGCTCCGAGCTCAGCCCAGGGCTTGCGGGACCGTACGGCACCGCTCCAGCCGGTGGGGGAGCAAGTAGACAGCGCCTGCCTCAGTTTCCCATTCGTTGGCTGGGCAGGGGCCCCATCCCCGAGGCCAGGGCGGCGGGGGGACAGCTCCAGGAAGAGGAGGGAGGGAGGGGGGGAAGCAGCCTCGCAGCACCCCGCTGTACCCGTCGGGGCCCGGGGCAGACGTCCAGCGCCGGTGGTCCCGGCAAGTGCTGGTCTAGCGGGACCCCAATCCCCGAAGGATGCGACCCTTGGGATGCAGCGTCCCCGCAGCCCCCGCAGTGGGGGTTGGGACCGAGAAACCCCTGGCTGGGCTCGCTCCGGACGTTTGGTTTTTAATGACGCCTAAACCAATGAGAGATGAAAACTTAAAGAATACAAAGTTTATATTAAAATATCCAGCTCGTCCCCCTGGCACAGCCTGGGGCGGCATGTACGGACACGGCAGCGCCTGCCATGGCACGGTATGGCACGGTATAGCACGCTGTGGCACGGTATAGCACGCTGTGGCACGGTATGGCGCGTCACGACTGCGGGAAGAGGCGTGGCCAAGCGGGGAGGGCGTGGCCTCCCGGGGTGGCGGGGGCGTGGCCGCCGGCGGGGCGTG